CCACAGTGCCACTTCTGGCTTTTTCTGCTTATGTGGTGCTGAGGAATCGAACCCAGGGCCTCATGCATGCAAGGCAAGCACTCTACCATTGAGCCACCTTCCCAGTGTCTTGTCCTTTAAAGTCTAAGTTTTAATTAAAGCTAAACTTGAATTAAAACTTAGACTTTAAGGGGCAAGACAAGCAGTGGAAAGGAGTCTTCATAAAAGTGCTTCATAGGCCCAATAATGCAGCAAACACTATTCAGAAGGCTTTATAGAACAAGTGTTATTTGGACAGTTTTATGTTAACAGATGTTGAAATTGGCTGGTAACAGGAAACTCATCTGTTCTTACTTGCCTCCTTTCTCGGCTCAAGGGGAAAGACCTTGTTATAAGAAAGAATAGAGCAGATAATAGAATTATGAATTTGAGTTTCAAATGAGATGAGGAGAGGGCTCCTGGTGCATTAAATGTGTTTAGGTTTAAGGCTTAGTAGTTGACAGCCAGAATAGACAAGAGTATACATGATAATTATGAAACCAACATCTTTGAGAAATATGGGAAGGAATGAAAGTTGCTTATATATTGGAAGAAACATAATTATTCTCCTACCGCCCCCCCCCCTTTTTTTTGTTAATTTGTTTTTACACAGGGCTTTACACTTGTTAGGCATGTCTTCTACTACTGAGCCATGCCTCTAGCAGTACTCTACTTTTTGAAAATGAATCTAATCAAAAAGCCATTTTTTGGTAAAATTAATTCCTGGCACTGATGGATTTTTTTGTTTTTGTTTTGCTAGTCCTTGGACATGAACTCTGGGCCTAGCTATTGTCCCTGAGCTCCTTTTTGCTCAAGGCTAGCACTCTACTACTTAAGCCATAGTGTCACTTCTGGGTTTTTCTGTGATCAATTGAAGAGTCTCATGGACTTTCCTTCCCTGGCTGGCTTTGAACCACAATCCTCAGGCCTCAGCATCCTGAGTAGCTAGTAGCTGATTTTTAATTGAACTGTTAAACAGATGGCTGTACACGTTGAGTACAGTAAGCAGTGATCACTAGCAGTGGAATGAGCTCATAAAACCCCTTAGTTCACTCTTTTAAATTACCAAGTGAGTCAGTCAATAGATAGCAGTTTTCTGATAAAGGATAAGTTCCAGAATAAGATGGTAGATTCTGGACTAAGCAAGAATATTTTAGGGTGAATTGTTTGTGGTAACTGCCCAGACAGGAATTATCACTTTAGAGAGAGTATTTTGATAGGCATCTTGATCTCTATTTACATCTTAGGTAAGCAAACACTTAGGAAAACTGCCTGTTTTATTAAGATTTGGGATTACCCATAAAATTATAAATTTGATCTTTGGAAGAAAAACTGATAAGAATAGCGTATTTTGATAATAGCTAAAAATGAATATTACGGAGGGAAACAAACCAAAGAATAGGCCAAAACTTTTGAGAAAAGTATTTATTGATATAAGTATGAAATTCAGCATTTAAAGACTGAATTACACATATTTAGGTGCAGTAAACCTGACTTAGTACTTAAGACTTGACAATTTCAATTGACAATGTGGCCCAGTATATATAAGTTAACTGCTAAAATGAACAGCTAATACTTCTTGGCCTTCATTGGAAATGAGATTATATATTCATTTTTGTTGTATTAGCCATTAGATCTGGAATATTGGTTCTGTTCTGAGTAGTACATGTTAAGATAAACTGACAAATCTCAGTCAGACTAGTCAGAATGGTGGAGTCTAGAGATTTCTTAGATTTTTAGAGATTCTAGGCCTATTGTCTCTTATTTCTTCCTTAATCACTTAACTAGCTAATTAATTGCAGGCTCTGTTAAAATTCTGGGTCACTTAGTATCAAAATCTTTTAATATGGATTGTATAGTCCAATTAGATGGTCCCATGCTCATTAACTAAACTTTTAGTCTCCTTGTCTGTCAAATGGAATTAGTAGTAGCCTATCCATTGTATATTGCTTTCCTGATGCTATCCATAGTTGTGATCTGCAGTGGTAACACTGTTGGAAGGTGGACAGCTGCATCAACTAGAAGTGGGGGTGCACTTCATTGTTCAAACAGTAAGGTCTGAAGACTTATTTTGGTCCTTATAAGGGGCATGGCTGGATGCAGGGGGAAGTGGTTAATGTTGGAATCTATTGGTGGGAATCCAGGGATTCTACTAAACATAGTTTGGTATGCAGGAGCTCCACAACAGATGCTGATAGTTCCAACAGTTGAGAAACCTTGATCTATTTCTAATATCTTCCCAACTAGGTTCTGATCCCTGATGGAGTAGGTTGTTTCTTCTGTTTTATTATATGTTATGTATCATTGCTAATTACAAGTTGGATGTATTGTTGAGGTTTATATAAATTGAATTTTCCTATATAAAATATTTATGAGGATAATTTTTTTTTTTTTTTGGGTCTGGTCGTGGGGCCTGAACTCTGGGCCTGTGCACTGTCCCTCAGCTCTTCAGCTCAAGGGCTAGCGCTCTACCACTTGAGCCACAGCGCCACTTCTGGCTTTTTTCTTATGTGGTGCTGAGGAATCAAACCCAGGGCCTCAAGCATGCAAGGCAAGCGCTCTACCACTGAGCCACCTTCCCAGCCCTGAGGATAATTATTAAAAGAAACTTTTTACATAAAGTAAAATATACAGATTTTCCTCAAGGATCATTTGTGAAAAATTTTCAGTAGACAAAGTAATGTCAGACATTTTACTGTCAAATTACATATATGTTGTCTCTAGTCATGTCCCAGATGTGCACTAATCCCTTAATAGGTTTTGTTTGAAAATGATTTTTTTATGACAAAAACAAATCTTGTCAAGAGTCTGGTAAAATAATAGTTTAAAAAATAAAAAATAGTCATGAGAACTCGCTTGTGATTACTTTATTGTAATTTTATCTTGGCTCAAATAGATTTTTTTGTAGCCATTTGCTTCCCATATTCATTATCCTTTAGAACCTTTTTTGGAAAATGCATAATTCAGATTGAATCAAACATTCTTTTTGCCTCAGGTACGTTAAATTAGGATCCAAATTTTGTAATAGTAGTATCAGAGCTTGGCAAAGAGTATGATTCCAGAAAAGAATGTGCTGATTATACATTTAATGCAAATTGAATAGACTTTTTTGAGCTTTTTCCCTTTGAATCAGTTACCCAAAAACATGAAGATTAAATATTGTAATTCAGTTAGCAACAGTTGATTTTTAGTAATAGTTGATTATCTCTTTTATGAAATCCTTTGAAATACATATTATATTTTAAAAAACTTAATTTTTGTCAGTGTCTGAAATGTTTATTGGATCTACGGTAACCAACAATGTGTCTATCAATTTTATAGTACTTGTATTCAGAAGCATTGAAATATCTTTATGCCTTACAAGAAGACATTGTACTATGAAAAAACATTCCTTGATTTAGTAGTTTTGTTAATTCAAAATTTATATAACAGTTTTATACTCGTTAAATATTTACACCTGTAAACTGGATAAGAGAGAAACTTAAATGTTCTGAAACTTATCAGAAGCGATTATTAAATACAGTTGCTTTTGTTTCAGTTGTCCGTGTTAAAATTCTTCATCTAAGTATTGTGTTCTATATATAATTTCTATATATAATTGTGTTCTATATATAATTTTGCAGTTCCAGCTCAACCAAGATAAAATGAACTTTGCCACACTGAGGAATATCCAGGGTCTATATGCTCCACTGAAATTACAAATGGAATTCAAAGCAGTGCAGCAGGTGAGTCAGTTATAAGGACTTCTCTTTCTATAACAGCTGTTCAAACTTTCTTCCTCTGCCCTTGTAACTTATTCTATACTTCCCCTTTATACTATATGACTTCAATTCCTATATCATAGAGGGAAAAAAAGTCCTTAAATAGAAAATTTCCTTGTCTGAAAACTCACCTGTGTCCACTTTCATGTTTTCCTGCTTTTTGAGAATTACATTGAATTTGAATTGAGGTTGAGGTACCTCTAGGAGATCCCAAGTGGTAGTATTGAGTACACGATATATACGTATAAACAAACACACACACAGAGAGAGAGAGAGAGAGAGAGAGAGAGAGAGAGCTGGGAATACCTGTTGCTAAGGAGTAAATACTTAGAAGATGTCCTTCCAGTGTGATTTGTTACATCCAGTGTGTGTCCTTCCAGTGATGTGTTACATCACACTATGTTAGGAAGTAACCTTGGGTTAGTGATCCTGTCTGGCGCTAACTCCTTTAACTTTTCTTTCTCCTTGTTCTGCCTAATAACCAGCAGCATTTATATATTTGTATAACTTCAGATCTCTGTCTTTTAACATAAAACAAAACTTTTAAAATGTTTATTTATTTATAAGACAAAACTTTGTATCATTCCTGAATGTCTTTATAGGTACTTCTCTTACATTAACTATGCTTTTGTCAGTTGAGCTTCTTAAGGTGTTTATGGTTTGTGTGTGTGTGTGTGTGTGTGTGTGTATACTTTTTTTTCCCTTTATTTCCTGATCATTTGCATTATGTGTACTGGCTCCCATCACACCAGTACATCTGTTCTTGAATAATGTAGACTTTTTTTTTAACCCTCATTTTACTTGAACCCTAGTATTTAGTACCCATGGCTCTTTTTTCCTTTGGCTCTTAGAATACACTTTCTTGATGTTCTCCACTCTTGTCTGAAACTTACTGTCAGTTTCTATAGGTTGCTTTTTTCCCCCCTCTGTTTCCTGCAGTACTAGTTTTGTTAGTCTTTGGTTGTCTCTTCACCCTATTTCCTACCTATTCCTCTTTCTTCTGTTACAGCTGTTTATTTAAATGCTTCATTTATATGTTGACGACTCAGATTTCAGTTCTCATGGGCTATAAAGCTGAGCTATTGCATTTGTAAGTTCCCTGGGCATTGCAGACTTTCACATGTATGAATATAGAATAATTCACTTCTCACATATTCCTATGACTAGGTTTTTGCTTAAAGCAGACATTGGAGCCTTAGCTTTGGTTATCATTCAGCACCTAACTTCTTCCCTTCCTCTCTATATCCCACACCGTTACTTGATCTCACCATTTCTGCTTCATTGGTTCTACTCCTGCTGTATTTGTAGTGCTCATCCCTGCTCTGCCCCTCCAGTTCATTGTCTGTACCATAGCCAGCATTAACAGCCATGAGACATAGATTCAGTTTGTTATTCCTCTCACTTAAAAGAAAGTAAATTCCAGTAGCTTAGTTTGGCTGCGTTCAAGAATTGACTTCTTAACCATAACACCTTGCTACCATAATACTTTAATACCATAGTCCACATATTCCTGGACTCCCTGGGCTTCCTGGTTATATTCTTTTCACCTTTTGGCTCTTGTACAGATTCCTCCCATCTAGCTGAAACTGTATTTTTCAATCATTTCTTTTAATGTCATCATTTGTATCAATTAAGTCATTCTGGAAACTATTTTGAGTATTCTAAGAATTATCTTACAATAAAAGTAGGGTTTAAAATGACAATAACTTCGGGCTGAATCTTGGTTCTCCTAGCTAGTCTTAAAAACTTAAGTTAGAAACCATTTTGAAATTCAGATTTTTTTGTTTTTATTTTGAAATGGATGTCCAATAATAATAGCAGAGGGTTATTCTGAAGATTAACTGATAATTGCAGGTTATCAATGTGATTATTTTAAAAATCCCAGTATCATTTAGTCACTGACCATCTTCTCGTTTGGTAGTTTCAGCATTATCTGCACTGACTTCAGTTATAACTGCTGGACAATTAACAGTGAACAGAATTGCTGAAATCTTTAAAGCAGGTTATGTGTCAGTCACTATATTATTTACATGCCTTTACATCATACCAGGCTACTGGTAGACTAATGGTCTCACTGAGTTGGAATTTTCTCAGAATTTCATTGCTCTGAGTATATCTGAAGCTATGCTCTGATGTTAGTCTCTAGGGTTTTGTGGTTTATCATATTACAGTATTCCTAGACAGAATAAAGCCTGAGACCATGTACAAATCTGATGGGATAATTAAGTACTGATAAAAGCTACAATTTCGGGGCTGGGAAGGTGGCTCAGTGGTAGAGCGCTTACCTTGCAATGCATGAGGCCCTGGGTTCTATTCCTCAGCATCACATAAGTAAAAAGAAAAAAACCGGAAGTGGCTCTGTGGCTCAAGTGGTAGAGCGCTAGCCTTGAGCTGAAGAGCTGAGGGACAGCACCCTGGCCCAGAGTTCAGGCCCCACGACTGGATCCCAAAAAAAAAAAAAAAAAAGCTACAATGTCATGGTCAACTATTTTGAACAAAATTTTGAGCAATTTTTTAAAACTTACTCTGGCCAGGCGCTGGTGGCTCACGCCTGTAATCCTAGCTACTCAGGAGGCTGAGATCTGAGGATCGCGGTTCAAAGCCAGCCCGGGCAGGAAAGACTGTGAGACTCCTATCTCCAATAAACCACCAGAAAACCGGAAGTGGTGCTGTAGCTCAAGTGGTAGAGCGCTCGCCTTGAGCTGAAGAGCTGAGGGACAGTGCCCAGGCCCAGAGTTCAAGCCCCACGACCGACAAAAAAAAAAAAAAACTTACTCTGTACTTAAAATGTGAATCATTCCTTTCCACTGGTTAAATTTATCTAGTTTTTTTGTATTTTTGAAGTAAGAGTACAGAACATAAAATTATATTCTTTTTCTTCTCTTGCCCCTTTCATGCCTTTCCCAAAGGTTCAGCGTCTTCCATTTCTTCAAAGTTCCAACCTTTCACTGGATATTTTGAAGGGTAATGATGAGACTATTGGATTTGAAGATATTCTTAATGGTAAGTGTCTTGGCAGTTTTTATGGCGTTCTGTTATATAAGATGTTAGCAGCAAAACAGGACAGAATCTATCTCTCCATCACTCATAGCAATGGGATTCACTTTATAGCAGTGAGGTATAAAATTGAGTGGTCACAGCTGTTCTTTCAGTGTTTTTCAGAGTGAAGGTAACTTGAAAAGTTCTGAGGTTCTAGTCATTTCAGTCAACACTAGTTGTGATTTTATATTCTCAGCATTGTCTAATGTATTGGTCTACTAAATTGGTCACTATTTCTAAGGTGATTTAAGTAATGATTGTTTTAGTATTCACCATGTTTGTACTAATTTTCAGAATAACTTGAATAAGATGGAAAATACCTTTAAAAAAAAACATCCATCCCCATTTGTGTGTGTGTGTGTGTGTGTGTGTGTGTGTGTTTCTGGAATAGGTGGTAAATAGAAAAGAAAAGCCTGCCATTCTTAACAAAATTCCCTGAATAATTGTAGTATGTATCAGATAAATGACTTTTAAGGAAGAACAATGTGTGCAGTATCCTCTATTTCTTGTTCTGAGGAAGATAAACAAATATAACTGTGCCCAGCATTGCCTTGCTCATTAGGAGAAACAGAGAACCCCAAACTAAGTTTTATTAGTTTTGTTTGGCTGCTGATAGCCGGTGAGAAAATGCTGTGGACATAACACAAGTCTCGTGAGCCTCCTCTTTGAGAGCTTTTTTTTTTTTTGTCAGTCATGGGGCCTGAACTCTGGGCCTGGGTGCTGTCTCTAAGCTCTTCAACTCAAGGCTAGTGCTCTACTACTTGAGTCATAGCACCACTTCCGGCTTTTTCTGCTTACGTGGTGGTGAGGAATCGAACCCAGGCCCTCATGCATGCAAGGCAAGCACTCTACTACTGAGCCACCTTCCCAGCCTCCCCAGCCTTTTTTAAGAGCTTTTTGAATGAAGGAAAACTTGGGATTCCTAAATGCATATAAAGCTAGTACAGTGTATATATATCCTTAATTTACTTATTTACAAATCTCATTTATAAAAAAACTCATTAAAATCTAATAATTCTATATAAAGAAAGGAAAACAGACCTTAAGCATTTATTCAGTTCAATGTTTATTACATGTCAAGCACTGGCTAGGCTCTGAATATAGAAATATGGACAAAATATCTGCTTTCTAATGGAGGAGACAAACAAAAAATATAAATTGTAATTAGTTTGGGAAACAATTTGAGTTTGGAAAGATGGTTGTCTGGGAATAGACATATAAGTTGATTCCTGTAAGCTGTGAATTAGTGGAGCTAAAAGTAGGGAGAAAGCTATTTCAGAAGAAACAGTATGTCCAGGGTCTGTCTCTAACAGCTAAAGAACTGTGAAGGATTTGAGATCTCACACTACTTACAAGCTAATCAGTTGGCCTGCTATGGTTTTATGAATGGTGGCAGAACATGTAAGATTCTAGGAGACAAAGGATGGTTTATTCCTCAGAGCAGTATGCCCCAGTTATGAGCATTCTGTTGGGCCCCTAAGCTCTACTTCCCAAGACAGCACAAAAAGAGAGTCAAGTGGTGCTCCATATTTGGTACCTTTTTTTTTTTTTTAGGAGGGAACTATGTTCTCACTGCAGGCATTGGACTTGGCTGTCCTGGTGGCCTCTTGTTTAGAAAACACTCATGGAAAGGTAGTTCAGAACCATGGCTGTCAAGCATTTCTGTTCCTAGGAGTTGTGAGGCATACATAATACGCTTTAAGGAAATCCTTATGACTAGGATATTCTGAGCAAGTTGGACAGTAGAATGTAGTGGGGTCAAGAAAACCAACAGAGAACTTACAAAAACTGGGGCCTACAGACTAAAAACAAGATTGTAGTTAATTCAGGATGCGACTCAAGAGGCATGGAATGACTTTAAGCAGAAGTGTGATGGGATACCATATCATTTGATGTTTAAGCTGTGATCATATCTTTAATTTATTCATTGCCTCTGTCTGAGAGTTCCAGGCTGAAAAGATTTCATTTAGTAGATCATTTTATTGTGGTTTTACTGCTGCAGTGAGCTTTGGGTGGTTTCCCCTGGGAGTGCTGCCATGGTAATGTAAATGGTTATCATTTTTATAAACCAGTTTTACAGATTGGTTCATTAGGTTTTACTGTTTCTACATCAGTGTTGAGATGGAGAGGTCAAAGCCTTTGTCTTTAGGAAGCTTTCTGTTAATTTAAAAAACTTTAGTTGTACTTATTACACAAAGGTAAGTCTTGTAAGGGTTTTCTTGCTTCACAATTCTGACATATGTTCATTCATACGCACAGGAAGGAAAATGGTACAGATAAGAATTTTTTGCAGATTTGATTATGAGATGATTCTCAGCATCATCTGAGAAGCACTGGAAAAATTAAGAATCTTGAAAATCTATTTTTTTTTCTTAGCTCAGCTACATTGGGGGTATCATTTACATACTACATATGCATCCATTTTAGGTGTACAGTTCTGGCTTTTAACAAATGTATAGCTGTTTCGCCTCAGTCAAGATAAAAGATTTATTTATCATCCTGAGAATCATTGAATTTATCTCTCTTTTGAGACTTAAAGTGTTTTTGTTTCTTTTCAGATCCATCACAAAGTGAGCTAATGGGTGAGCCCCACTTGATGGTGGAATATAAACTCGGTTTACTGTAATGCACTGTGCTGTTCACAGCTGAGGGGCTATGTTTTGTTAGAGTTGTCTATTGTAATTTGATGTATACAACATTAAAAGTACTCATACATGAGATTCTGTATCTGTAATCATTTCAAACTGTTAGAGTCTGGTTGATGGTGACATGTTGTCATGAAACAGTTGGAAGCCTGCATGGAGATAGTTTTAAAGCTCTTCATTTACAGCAAAACAGTAGCTTTATCGTTTTTCAGTGCCTCACCCCGCCTCCCTTTCTTTTTGGTGACAAGGTCTAGCCTGGAACTCACTATCTTCCAGTCTCTTCCTCCTAAGTGCAGGATTACAGACAAGTGCCACCACTTTAATCTGGTTTTTCTTTATTATAAAGTGTTGTTTAATATAGCCAGCATATAAGACTATAAAGATTTTTTAGAATATTAGTGAATGGGTCACATTGCTAATTCTGACATGCATCCTGATAATTATTTAGGATTATATTCGCTCCATTTTTAAAAATATATTTTTTTAAAAATTAAGTAGTTGTACAAAGGAGTTGCCATGTTTATGAATACAGTGCATCTTGATCAGTGTTACCCCTTTCAGCATTCTAACCAACCCCCCTTCCCACCACTCCTTCCTTTAAACATTTTTTTGTAGTATATACATCTAATTCTTCACTGCTTTCTTCATTCCTTTACTCCTCTCCCCTTGGCTTCACAAGTACCCATTTGCTGATGTTTATTTTGTTGGGCTTTGACTTTGCCTTTCTAAGGAATTATACTATTTGAGTTTTCCCTTGAATTCATTTATAACCACATGCATATCACCTGATGTGTTCACTTAAAGTTTATAGGCTGAATCTAGCTACCTCATATAAGGGAAACCCACACAACCTTTGTCACTCTGGGCCTGACTTAGTTCACCTAATAGAATTTTTTCCAAATCTTTCCATTTTTTAATAAATGGCACAATATCATTCTTTTTAATGGATGAGTAAAATTCCATTGTGTTTATGTATCACATTTTTCTTTGGAAACAGTTGTCAGAGCAGTTTTGGTGTCATAGCTTTAAGGGTGACCGCTACTGGCACCTAGTGGCTAGAAAGCAGGAATACAGCTAAGCTGCTTACAGAGAGCAAGAAAGTTGATGTCATTGACAACTTGAAGACACTAAAGGGAAATGATTCTAATATTCATAAACAATAGCCTTCTATGTGATGAAAAAGTTAGTATTCCAAAGTTGTCTTCATCTATTATTTTCTCCTTCCAACCCAAACTTAACCTTGCTTAGAATGTCAGCACCAAGACTGGTAAATGACAAGCTTTGAGATAAATGACAAGCTTTTTTTTTTTAGTTTTTTTTTTTTTAATTTAAATTTTTATTTTTTGTGAACATACTGTACAGAGGGGTTACAATTACATGGGCAAGATAATGAGAACATTTCTTACCAAGCATTGCAGCCTC